ACAAAAGAGCAAACAATCACCCTTCCTGTGTCCCCAGCTCTGTCACATCCCTGCCTTCACCCTGCCTGCATCTGAGCCATCCACCTGCCAGGCAGCACAGCACTCCTGTGTTTTATCTTAGACTTATGGCTGGGTTTCAAAATTCCAAATCCTAGAGATTCACTTGGTGTGAATCCACGTTGATCCTCTGTGGGAGGGTCTCCCTGGGTTGTGGCTGGTGCTTGTTCCAGAAAACAATAGTGCAGCCATGCAGTGGGTTAGAATTTATGGTAAAGTGCAGCAAAACAGTGATGCCAAGGCTCATCACCCTTAGCCAGTGTCCCTGTTCCTGTTGGTGCCAAACTGGTCTTTTGTCCGAGAGAGGCCATGACACCTCTCCCAAATGTACTCCAAGAAGGAAAACCTTTTCTCCCTCTGTGACCCAGGGGATCCTCAGGCCCTGCTGCTCACTCCTGAATCTCTGCCCTCTTTCCCCACCAGAGCACCGCAAAGCCCACCCGGGGTGACCCTGGTGGTGATGCAGACCTCCAAAACTTCAGACTTTGTGCTCTGTTGCTTATACAACTGTGCAGTTTAGCTAAATGATGCAACCTCTCTCTTTTTCCCAGTCAGTGATTTTGGGGAAGAGTTTTTCTTGTGCTATCTCCTGCACATGTTTTCATTCTCTGTCTCTCTTTCTCTCTCTGTGATCAGGGCTCCCTCCCCTCTGCAGCACCCACAGCTCTTCTCTCCCCCACGTCAACTCTCTATAGCTCCTACCTTCCATGATGTGTCAGTTTTTTTTAAAAATTCTAGTTGTGCAGTTTGTTTTCTCAGACCTCAGATCAATTCTTTGGGTGCTCAGAATGATTTGTCATTTTATTTCTTTTTCTTATCTAGTTTCTCTGATAGGAATTCCAGCATCATGTTTAAAAGAACCAGCAAGAGTAGATGTCTTCGCCTTCTACTATATCCTGGAGGGAAAGCTTTCAGTTTGTTTCCCCCATTGATTCTGAAGTTACCTGTAAGTTTTTTCTATATGGTGTTAAGATCTTTCTGTACCTATTTTGTTGAGTTTTAATCATGAAGTGGTGCTGGACTTTGTCAGTTTCCATTTCTGCATCTATTCAGATAATTATGTAGCTTTCTTTCATTTTGTTAACATGTTATAACACCTTGATTGATTTGCATATGTTGAACTATCCTCACATCCTTGGGATAAATCTCACTTAGTCATAGTGCATGATCCTTGTAACGTTCTACTGAATTCAGTTTGCTAGGATTTTATTAAGGAGTTTTAGATGTATGTTCATCAGGGATATTGGCCTATAGTTTTTCTTGTAGTATCTTTGCCTAGTTTTGGTATCAGGTGATGTTGGCCTCATTAAATGAGTTTGGAAGTGTTCCTTCCTCTTCTATTTTTTTGAAAGAGTTTAAGAAGCATTGTTATTAATTATTTGAATGTTTGGTAGAATTCAGTCATGAAGCCGTAGGTCCTGGGTTTTTCCCTTTTGTTTTCCCAGTCAAAACAGGGAGCTCATCACTAAATTTACAAAAACCGCTTAAGACAGTTCTTCAAACTGAAATGAAAACTCACTGAACAGAAATGTGATAGCATAGGAAAACATAAAACTCACAGGTAAAGGTAAATATATGGACATATATAGATAAGTGTAACACTGTAAAAGTGTCTACTGGCCTTTATATTAGGGTGGGGAAGGTTGTTGGGGTACTCCTGTTCTCTTCCTCCCCCCAGAAGGAAATCAGGGGTTTGCATATGGGTGTACTTGGTGCAGCAGTGACACCTGTCTGGGCATGGGTGTGGGGAGGTAGCTATGGAGCTGGGGATTTGGGGGCTTGTATTTGGGAGGTGAGTGGGAGCTCTGGTCTGCAGGAGGTGGGGTACAATGCACAGTAGCAGCTCTGGCAGGGGAAGGGAGTATAAATACAGTTCTGACCCCCTTCTCCCCAGCACCTAGTGCACATGGCAAAATTCTGAAGAAATATCAATATTAAGGAAGAATTGATTGAAATGTACAAACTTAAAGTAGTTTAAATGTCTACCAATAATGGATTAAAAACAAATTTTGATACATGCAAACAAACGATCACTATACACTCATTAAATATCAGGCTAGCATTGATTAAGTGGGTGAGAAGATGGCCGCAGTCTAGCATTGACTGAAAAGAGTAGTTATAGCACAGTTGTGAAAAGAGGTCATCACTGTGTGTTGGGATGGTATGGGGAGTCATTTTGTCCCAGGTTGAGCAAAAGGCAGGGTTAAGAGGGGTGCAATATGACCTCTCCCCCCAGACAAGCTACAGCTTCAAAATGGAATTCCTTTTGAGTGACAAATTATTATCCAGTGAATGTCCAAGAACATATTGGCATGCCAAAGTTGTGAGTTAGGTGGTTTCAGGGTTTTTATTTTTATTTTATTTGTTGGTTACAGATAATGCAGTGGTGAATCTTTTATTACCTATTGATTTTAATATCTTTTTAATTACTTTCTTGGGATAAATTCTCAGGACAGTGATGGCTAAAATAAAAGTATTCAATAAAAGCTCTATGACTAGGTTGACATTACCAAATTGTTTTACATTTTAGAAATTTGAGCCCTGTTTTTACTTTGGAAACATGAAAGTGTTTTGGTGGAACACTTATTTGCTGGAGAAATCACTACGTTGTGTAGATGAAGTCTCACCCTGCAAACTGAAAAAGATTTTGGCTTACATCCTTCCCTATTCTCTCTCAAACCTTCAGTGACTGGGGACTTAATCTCTGGTTCAATCCCTGTCCTTTGGCGCCACCTTCTGGGAGATGTGTTCACCAGCAGGTGTGGCCCCTCCCAGGGGAGAGCTGGGCTGAGATGGGCTGAGAGACGGTGTGCCCTGGGCCAAGGGAATGCACCTGTCTCACAGGGCCCAGGTGGCCCCTACGATAGGGTTACTTCCACACTGCGGTTGGTTATTTTCTTAGAACAAAGCTGTTCCTACCGTTTCTCACCTCTCATCCATCACCCAATCCATTGGAAATCCTCTCTGTTTCTTCCTGTGCACAGGATGCAGTGCAGCCCTGGCTTGGTGTACAGACCCTTTCGTGCTGCCTCCATCCTACTTCTCCAGCCTTGTTGTGTCTCGTTGTTCATTAGTCCACCCTGTGGACTCCAGCGTCTGAGCAAGCCTCTCTCTTTCACACCCCTAAGCCTTTGGTTTTTCTGTTTCCTCTGTCCAAGAGACTGCTTCTCCATGAAATTGAGTCTTTTCTTCAAGTTCCAATTCAAACATCAGCTCCCTAAGGAATCTTCCTCAATTCTTCTCCAGGCAGAAAGTGTCTCTTCCTGGGGGCACCATTCATGCCACCAGGCTAGTATTGTTCACAGTGGATCATGCCAGTACGTGACTCTGTCCCCTCCACTCGCCCCCACACTGTGGCTTGGCCTTATGTCATACTCACGTAGCCTAATGTCATACTCCTGGCACACTGTGGGTACTCAAGAAATATTTGTTGGATGAATTAATATGCTTCATGACTTTGGAGTCCGGTGATTCAGTAATTGAGGGAGGACATCTGAGGAAGATGTATTTAAAATGTGGTCTGACCCTACCCAAGCCCAGGAGCTGGGAGGATGGGCCCTGGGGTATGGAGATGGATCTGCTGTGGTTCTGAGATGCTTCAGATCAGGCTCCGAGGGAGGGTGGGTCCTTGAAACTAGTGGAGTTAATTGTAGGAAGCAAGTGTCATGTGATATCATCTCAGGAATGCAATTAAGGCTCGGTCGTGCTGTTGAAGAACCTGTGAAGAGTCACGACACTGTCTGCCATAATTAGAAGCACCAACGATGGGCAGTATATAGGACCCTGTTCACACAAATCCATCCTGGCTGAGTGCTGGGGAATCTCTAGGATAAACCACAGGCCAGCACTGTGGATTCAGAGCAACCCCATTCCAACTGCACAGGTCAGCACTTCTTCCAAGAGAGTAGTGGAGGTGGGGTGGATGGTGCTGGGTTTGTGCAGGTCTGAGAAAGCAGGATTGGATGGCTTACTTGTTTTGGAGGATGTGTGCAGTGGATGGAAGTCCCAACAGGGTAATTGTGGTCCCCCAATTGGTTTGAATCTAGGTCCAGGTGGATCAGTTGTGTGATTTTGGGAAATTTACTTAACCTCTCTGGGTTTCATTTCTTCCTCAAGAAAATGGTGGAAATGATGTCTGCCTCATGTGGATTACATGGATGCTCTGTATAGAAGGGTTTATCTAGTGCTTGGCTGGCTTCATAATAGTCAAAACCAGCAGTTGCTGGTTCTTCTCTGCACAGAATCTGGAGGGGACCACTGAGCTGACAGGATAACCCTGCCTCCTGAAAACAAGAATCTTATCTATGAAGGGTGTGGGGAGGGGGAGATCGTGGGCATCAGTACGTCATCCGTGTGCAGAGCACTGGGATCGGTGCTGAGGGGTGACCGGGAGTGGCTGTGGGTGCCCTCAATTGCCCCAATGCTGGTCAGCCCAACTCAGGGCAGAAGGGACCGTGTGGATGGCAAGTCCCTCCTTTACAGGGTCATGCGGTCAGGCGGTGGTCAGAACAAAGGTGGGCACCCTTGTGTTGTCTCTACATTCAATGGAGAAAGGAAAATAATAACACTTGAGTAGGGCTGGGGGTTCTGGGTGGTATAATTTTAATATTTCATTTGTGCTATGAAGTAGCCTAGTAGTAAGGATCTTGCCTTCTTGAGGGTTTAAAAGTTTCCATTAGAAAGCATTATCTTGCACCAAAGAGTTTAGATTCTTTTCATTTCTGATTTTGGGTGACTCTAAGTTGAGAGTAGAGTCTAGGGACAGAGAACACAGCTCCTGTCTTCAGGAAGTCCACTGTCCCAAGGAAGGGACGGAGCCCTGTCCTGAGTGCTCACAGCACAGCTTCCTTCACAGCAGGAACTCTGAGCCACGTTTGCAAGGGGTCAGCTGGAGTGCAGGGAGGTGGACAGGATGAGAGGGCAGAAGATTCTTGGAGGAAGCGCTTATCTGTCAAGAAGCCGTTCTCCCCTCAGCTTCCCCACTGTCCCCAGGGCCTCGAGCACTACATCTCCAGAGCTCTCCCTGTCCAGCCACCATGACAGGCACGCCTGTGGAGGAATCCCTCTTCCAAATCATCCGCTGCTACCACCAGTATGCGGCCCGGGAGGGGGACGTGGAGACGCTGTCCCTGGAGGAGTTGAAGGCTCTGCTTATGGACAGTGTACCCTGCTTCGTGGAGAGCCTGGTGTGTGAGGTGCGGGGTCAGGTGGGGATTACATATAGGTTTGATTGTGGAGTTGGAAGCAAGTAGTGAGGGTGTAGGTATAGGGAGTTATCTCCCAAGAGAATTCTTACTCAGGGGAGGAGGAGGGAGTTGGGAGGGCAGGGTCTGCCAGCTTTATTTCCCCTCTGTCCCTCTCCTGAAACTTCCTGCTGGGCCCCACTCCAGCCCCAAGAGTAACTAATCCCTGAGACTTAGTCCCAACCCCAACCTGTTTATTCCTCTGCTCATCCTGTTTCCTGAGAGAATAGGTGCTGAGTCCTTCCTCTGCCTGAAGCCCCATTCAGTCAGACCTCCTGGCCTCAACCTAAACCTGCCCTTTTAACCCCAGACCCATTTGGGGACTAGCACAAACTTTCCCTCTCCCTGTGCCTGGGGGAGGACAGTTTGGGCAGAAGCCAAGCGGGGTGGAGAATGTAGCGTCCCCTTCCAGCTGCTGTCTGAAGGGCAACAGAGGCCCTTGGACCAGACTGGGGCTCAGAAACCCTCTCCTGCCTGCACATCTTCCCCATCATCAGGCTCTGTGATTACCAGGCATTTTGGGGGCTGCAAGGCTAGGAGGGGTGTCTGTGGGGTAATGCCCTCTGCCCTCAGCTCCATGCCTGGGGGGGGCGGTTGTCTCTGGACTGTCATCTCCAGAAGACTTCAGGTCCATGCCTTGACCAGACTACATTCCTGAAGGGGCGCCTCCTTTGTTCACTCTGCATCTCCCCTTACCTACCTTTGGGAAACATCAGAGGAGGGTCCTGCCCTCAGTTTACTGGAGTGTAGCTGTGAGGGTCACAGAGGGGACTAGGGTGATTTTCTGTCAAGGCCCATTGCCTGTAGCCCATGGGGCTGGGCAAGGATGTTCACAGCCCCACCCGGGTAAGGGCCCTCAGGGACAGACACTGGGCCAGGGGGGCTGAGGTGAGGGAAGCGGTGGGGAGCCTGCCCCAGCAGGAAGCCTTCAGTGTTGGGATCAACCTGTTTTGTGGAGGAGATAAGAGTAGGTAAATTAGACGGTGGTGGGCGGTGGGGGGAAACAGACAGGGTGCAAAGCTCCCCATGGGGCTGAGGGCCACCCTCCAGGCCCCCAGCTGCTGACACATGCAACAGCTTCCTTCCCTGTAAGCTTTCTGGGGACTCCACCCTGAGTCTTCACACCCGCCAGGCAAAGCCTGCTGAAGCCTCCTCCACGGGCCCTGCCCAGGACCCTGTCCTCGTCTCTGTCTTCTCGCTGCGCTGCTCGCTGACGCCTGCCTCCCCTCTCGCTGCCCCTTCAGCCTCACGTGCGTTTGTTCCTCCCTATGCCATCTCCGATCCTCACCCTCTGGTGAGAGCCGCCTGCTCTGGGACATGCTGGACGCCTCCAGGGCTCAGGACTATCTTTCCCCTCATTCTGCACTTTCTGCAGGGCACACAGGCCAAGTGTCATCAACAAGTTCTGGGCAGACGCCACAGCACACACACATCTGATCCGCCCCCTGGTGACCCTGTGATAGTGCTGGAGGTGCAGACACAAGGGGCAGGTGGGCTCTGCCCTGGAGAGCTCCCAGTGCGAGGAGGGAGCACGGCCTTCCAGAGCCCTCTGCAGGGCAGCTTCTAGGGCAGCTGAGCAGACAGGCTGCGGCAGCCACCAGTGGCGGACAGACGTGTCAGGAGGTGCCAGGCTGCTTAGCTCTGCTCAGCAGCCAGACGGTCAGCCACACAGCCCCAAGTCCAGCTGGCCGAGGTGCCCACCACGTCTCTGTCTCTGAGCCTGATTCTCTAGCATAAGGTGCCCTGGCCTCTGCCGGAGTGAGGGGCTGTTTGCCACAAGCCTCCTGTGGCCGGGCCACCTCCCAGGGCCATGGGGGCATGGTCCTTCACTGTGAGCTGTGTGCCTGGGTGGATGGTGACCCTCTCCCGCCCCCCCCCCCATCCCCCCAGGGCCGGAAGGAGCCCTACTACATCTCAGAGCTGTTCCGGGCTGCTGACAAGAACAAGGACGACCAGATCTGCTTTGACGAGTTCCTCTTCGTCCTGGGCCGGCTGGTGAGGGACTACCACCTGCGGTACCACCGGCGGCGGCTTGCCGGCTACTGTGCCCAGCACGGCCTCCGCTAGCAGCGTCTGCCCGAGGGGCCTGCCTGGGAGCAGATGGAGAGCATGTATGTGCAGCCGACAGCTGTGAGGGAAGAGAATAAAGCAACCCCATGAATGTGTCCTGGAATTCTTTAGTTCATGGATCTGGGCATCTGCTGTGGGTCCTACAACGGGGATCATTCATTTAGGGTGAGAGACACAGCCCTCGCCTCCAGGAGCCCCTGTCTGAGGGGAGCAGCCCCTTCTCTTGGGGGAGCTGGCTCGCTACAAGGAAGCCAGGCCTCACCAGTGATGTTCTGACCACTCACTCTCTGCACGTACGTGATGGGACAGCGTGCAGGAGAGCTGACGCACGCCGGACAAGGGCCCGCTTCGAGGGTCTAGAGGAGAGCCCCGAGCAGTCAGCGTTTACAAGCGGAATGGCTTGGGCCTGAGAAGGGAGAGTGATGCAGGTAGTCGGCAAGGAAAGATTGTGAGGTGGGTTTTGCACACACTGAGTCAGAGACAGGGACAAGGGCACAACCTGTTACGGCGAGGAGTGAAAAGTGGAACCTGGGCGACCATCAGTCAGAAAAGACTTCCTGGAGGAGGGAAGGGCTGGGTCTGGGTTTTACTAATACAGGCTGATGTGGGTGTTACTCTACTTGGGGCTATTGTGAATCACCCTCCAAGTCCTCTGTGGTCTCTGACCCCTCCCAGTAGGGATCTGCCCTGCCCCCCTCATCTCCGTGTTTATTTTTTTCTCTCTCCCTGGGAGCCCAAGAGTCTGATGAAGAACCTCTCCTTTATGAAGCATCTCCTTTGCCTCTAGGCCCTGCTGGGGCCCATGTTGGTGGGTTTCTTCTCAGAGGATGGTCGGGGAATCCATGTCCTGAGTGTATTGTGATGAAAAGGATGTGTTTTCAAAGAATGGTGGGCAATCCTCATTGGTCCTATGCCAAAGACGGGGGTCATTTACGGGACTTGGTTTTGTTTCCTCCAGCAGCTGGGTCTGTGTGCCGCAAGGGGGCAGTGCCCTGGGGACTGAGCTGGGGTCTTCTTTTCCGACCAATTGAGCTCTGAAGCAGTTGTCCCCACTGCTCTCTGGGCCTGGCTGGCCACTGACGCCTCTTGCGCCCCGGCTGACTCCCTTTGGACCTTCCTGGGCATCCCATGGGGTCTGCACTGCCATGTGGAGGTGCGCGTCCTGCTGCACCTTGGGAGTGTTTTACTGTCTGTGTTCTTTGCCAGCGAGTGGGTGCATGTGTTGGAGGAGGAACTCAGGAACCGGGCCTGTGGATGGACTCTGATGCCTGCATCTGTGCTGCCTCCCGTGGGTCTCTTAATCACAAGCAGAGGCATGGATGGCCAGGCCACCGGCCTCCCCCAGGCCCAGCGGAGAGTTCTTCCCGCCTATCTCAGCTGAGACTGCTGAGTTCCACAGACCTTTGAGTGCTAAGGGGCAGCTCAGCCTAGACCTCCTGCCCTTTCCCGGGGCGTGGAGTGGTGTTTCTACACTGGCTCTGCTGGTGTGGCCTCATTTCCTCAGCCTTGGGCACAGGCCTGGTTGGGCTATTGGGACACACACGCAGGACCGAGGTCTTTCCTGTAAGTAGGAGCAGGTTCCGCTCCCCTGGGTTGCCCCATGTCCGTCAGTCTGATTACAGGCTCTGCCTTTTCCCCTGATGTGCTTGCCTAACCCTTGACACCCTTCTGCCAGGTCACTCAGTGCGGTTCCTGCTCTCCCTGAAGCCCCCCAGGCCGTCTGTCTGGGGGCGGGGGGAGCAGCTCTGGGGCGAGTTTCATGGCCTCGCTGGTGCCAGCTCCATGGACAAGTGCATGATGCTGGAAGGAGGCCATGGCTCATGTCTGCTTTGGGTCCCCCCACTGGACCTGGGGCCTGGCTTCCCTAATTCCTGGATGAAGAAAGCTGTCTCCACTGGACCTGCCTTCAACGGAGGCATCTCTTCAGGCCTCAGGGGTCTGGGAAGACATCATCTGCATCAGCTTCACCCTCACCCCCACTGGGAGAGGTCAGCATGAGCTCCGTCCCAGGCTCGTGAATGGATCCTAAGAAGAGTCTCAGAAAAGCCACTTTTTAAAATTCTAATGTGTGCTTTTTGGCACATAAGCAGAACACATGCCCATAGGAAGAAACTTGAGTAACACCCTGTGCCTCAGCTTCCCTATCTGTCACATAGGGATAATTGTGCCTGTAATGTCCACTTTGCAAGGTTATCAAGTGAGGCAGTGATATAAAAATACTTTGAAAATATATTGTACTATTTGAGGTAACTAAGGTGCTATTATGCCAGGTACATGGGAGGGGCTTGTTGAACAGCAGGTATAGACTGAGTGTTTGATCATCAGTTGAAAACTTGTTATTATATATGTCAGAAATGGCCCTATTTTTCTGTCAGAAGATTGAGTAACTGATTTAAACTGGTGGGATGTGATAAAGGGAATTTCTGTATCAGATAAGAGATGGATCAAGTGTTCAATTTTGCATTCACCTATTCCCTCAATAGGTATTAATTGGGTACCTAGTATGTACCAGGCCCTAGTGATATATGTGATTTCGTCTCTAAAGGGGCTCTTGGTCCCAAAGGAAGGACAGACAAGAAACAGAGGAGTCATAACACGGGGGGAAAGTGCCATGTTGTATGAAGGTTTGGGTAGCAGGGAGGAGAGAAGAATTAACTCAGTGTTGGCAGGGGTGTGGGGAGGAGGGTCAGAGATGATGTGGAGCAGACAGTGCCTGGGCTGAGTCAGGAAGAACAGGAAGGACTTTACTGGTAACGAGGCATTCCAGGCAGAGGCAGGAAGTGCATGATATCACATCATGTCACCTAAGTAATTCGATGCCTGAATGTTATATCTCTCTGTGGGCCTCAGTTCGTCATCTGTAAAATGGGGATTATGGTAGTACAAACTTCATAGTTTATAGTGAGTAATGGATTGATGTAGGTAAAGCACTCACAGCAGATCCTGGTACATGGTGACAGCCCAATAAATGTTATTTTGCTATTATTTGTTCTTATTATTGATTGTTGTTGCTGTTCTTGTACATACCGGACCCTGTGCTGAGTCCTGGGGAGGCAGTAGTCAACGGTCCATTCTTGGTCCTTCAGGGCTCACAGCCCAGCTGGGAGTCAGGCACTCAAGGGCAGTGGTCACAGTGCACACCCGCCCCGTGCTCACTCTGCAGTGTGCTAAGTACACCACACATCCTTTGTGCAAACTGCTTATTAAAGTATAATACATATTAACAAAGTCCACAGGGGTGCCTGGGTGGCTCAGTCCATTGAGTGTTTCACTCTTTTTTTTTTTTTTTAATTTTTAACGTTTTATTTATTTCTGAGAGAGAGAGAGAGAGAGACAGCGAGCAGGGGAGGGTCAGAGAGAGAGGGAGGCACAGAATCCGAAACAGGCTCCAGGCTCTGAGCTGTCAGCACAGAGCCTGACGTGGGGCTCAAACCCACAAACCACGAGATCATGACCTGAGCCGAAGTCGGGAGCTTAACCGACTGAGCCACCCAGGTGCCCCGACTCTTGATTTCAGCTCAGGTTATGATCTCACACAGAGATCATACAGCTCTATTAGCACAGAGCCTGCTTGGGATTCTCTCTCCCTCTCTCTCTCTGTCCCTCCCCTGTTCCTGCTTTCTTTCTCTTTCTGTCTCAAAATAAATAAATAAACTTTTTAAAAGTCTACAAATCATAAATATTTTTCATTTATTATTAATCTTCACAACACTATAAGGTAGATCTTATTAGTTTTTTAGGTGGAAGCATTTAAAAATTTAAGAAATTTAATTGTGGCAAAAAAATATAAAATTTACCACCTAAGTGTATTGTACACTTGTGTTAAATCCATGCTCATTGTTGTGCAACCAATCTTCAGAACTCTATCTTTTTTTAAAGTTTGTTTATTTATTTATTTATTTGAGAGAGAGAGAGAGAGAGAGAGACAGAGAGAGACAGAGAGAGACAGAGAACCAGCCCAGGAGGGGCAAAGAGAGGGGGGGGGAGAGAGAATTCCAAGCAGGCTCCACATTGTCAGCACAGAGCCCAATGTGGAGCTTGAACCCATGAACTGTGAGACCATGACCTGAGCTGAAATCAGGAGTTGGGCACTTAACTGACTGAGTCACCCAGGTGTCCCTGAACTCTTTTTATATTGCAACTGAAGCCCTATACCCAATAAGCACTAACTCCTCATCATTCCTCCCCTAGGCCCTGGGAGCCACCGTTCTGTTTTCTGTCTCTAGGAATCTGACTACTCTAGGGACCTCATATAAGTGGAATCAAACAATATTTGTCTTTTTGTGACTGGACTATTTCATGTAGCATCATGTCTTCAAGGTTCATCCATGTTGTAGCATGTGTCAGAATTTCCTTCCTTTTTAAAGGCTGATAATATTCCATTTTAAGTGTACACTACATTTTATTTATTCATTAATCCTTGGATGGACACTGAGTTGTTTTTATATTTTGGCAATTGTGAATAATGCTGCTATGATCATGGATGTATAAATATCTATTTGAATCCCTGCTTTCACCAGAAGTGGAATTACTTGATCACATAGTAATTCTGTTTTTAACTTTTTGAGGAGCTACCACACTGTTTTCCATAGCAGCTGCACTATTTTACATTCCAACCAACAGTGCAAAAGGGTCCCAGTTTCTCCACATCCTATCACTTGAGTCTGAAGTGGTACCTCGTTGTGGTTTTGAGGTGATTTTCTTAATGGTTAGTGACGGTTTTCATGGTGCTTATTTGTGAATCCTCTTTGGAGACATGTCTTCCAGTCCTTTGCCCATTTTTCAATCGGGGTAACTTTGTTGAATTGTAGAAGTTTTTTAGATATTCTGGATATTATTCCCTTATCAGATAAACTATTTGCAAATATTTTCACCTATTCCGAAGGCTGCAGGGAGATTCTATTTTTAATCTCTTCTTAATAATTGAGGTAACAAAGACACAGAGAGAGTAATTGACCCAAAGTTACACAGCTATAAAGTTAACAATATAACGGAGCCCAAAGAGGTATGGAAACATGAAGGAGAGGGGGCTAATGTCATCTACTCCCTCCAGGATGTGATGATGGCGTGGAGAGGCACAATGTAAATGTCTGTT